TGTCCGTACGCACCGTGAACGGTGCCCCGTGCAGGTAGTGACGCCAGTGCCGAGCGGCATAAACTACTGCGAGAACCTCACGTTCATCAGCAGTGTAGTTTATCTCGACGGGCAGGAGCTGACGGGAGTAGAAGGCTATCGGACAATCACCTGAGCGGGACTCGACAGTGCCGTCCTCGGCGATGGTAGGAGAATAGTCAATAGAAGGCTCGTCAGTAGCTGGACGAGTAGGCGTCAGTCGGGAAGCAGTGGTAGGGGTAGGTGGTGAAAAGCGAGGGATGCGAGGATGAGAGGAATCAGGAGAGGAGGGGAAGACCTGAGAAAGCACTGCTCCTACAGCAAAGTCTGACGCATCGGTGGTAAGGATAAAAAAGCGATCAAAATCGGGTAGGTGGAGAACCGGTGCGCATGTCACCGCCTTCTTGAGGGCGCGGAAGGCGTCCTCGTGGAGGAGTGTCCAAGCCCAGGGTGGGTTCTTCCGGAGGAGGGTGGAGGTAAGGACGTAGGAATACCTAGCGTATCCCCGGATGAAGTTACTACAGTAGCTGGTCATGCCTAGGAAGCTGCGAAGCTGCTTGGCGGATGTGGGAGCGGGCCACTCCGCAATAGCAGTGATTTTCGCGTCGTCCATGTGGAGACCCTGGTCAGACACGTAATGTCCTAAGAAGTCCACTTTGTGCTGGGCAAAGCGACACTTGCTCAGCTTGGCGTAGGAACCATGTTTGCGCAAGCGGTCAAGGACGTCGCGGAGGTGTCTTAGGTGCTCCTCAAGAGTACGACTATAGACCAGGATATCGTGGAGGTAGACGAGAACGTACTGCTCCAGGATGTCCCTGAAGATGTCGTTCATCGCCCTCTGGAAGGTAGCAGGTGCATTGGTGAGGCCGAATGACATCACCGTAAACTCCTAGTGGCCGAAGCGCGATCGGAACGCTGTCTTCGGCTGGTTGGCTGCAGCGATGCGGATCTGATGGTAACCGCTACGAAGATCAATCTTCGTAAAGAAGCGGTTGCCTGCTAGGCGGTCGAACAACTCATCGGAACGAGGCATGGGGTAGCTGTTCTTAACCGTGTAGCGGTTAAGGCCGCGATAGTCGATGCAGAGACAGAGTACCATCCGCTTTGCGAGCAAAGAGGACGGGTGCACCCAACGGGGAGTTGCTGGGTTTAATGAAACCCAGTCTCAGGAGCTCCTCAAGCTGACGCTTGAGTTCGGTGGCCTCGGGAATCGAGAGTCTGTAGGGTGCCTGGTGGTGAACGCGATAGTCAGGCACAAGCTGAATGGAGTGCTCGGCGTCACACATCGGTGGGATGCCGGCATACGAGAACGACGATGGGAAAACGTCGTGGTACTCTCGGATGAGGTCACGAACTGCGGGCTCCAGGTCAGCCGTATATCATGCGAGTTCCTCAGCGTCAGCGTCAGCGCGCGACGGCGAGGTGGACTCGATGGACGACGGAGGGACGGAAGTAGAGATGGGAGCTATGGAGATGGAAGGAGGGTCTGGCTCCAGAGAGATAAGCTCGGCGTCGGGGCAGGGTGGATCATAGTGTAAGAGATCCGTCACGTTCACCATAAAGAAGGTGACGTCGTCCTGTCGGATGAAGTGGGCGAACTGCCGAGGCGAGGTGACAGTGATGGAAGGAGATGGTGTGGGCACGGAAGGCTCCGGGGGAGGAGGATCGGGGCGTGGTGTCGCAGTGGTACCTATGAAAGGTACGCGATACGTCTGTCCACACTTCGTTTTGAGAACGAGAGTGTTGGTCTCCCAATCCGCCTCGGTGCTGCGGAACCGACGAGACCACAGAGTGCCGAGAATGAGGTCGTACCCCGTTTCCATCACATCGAAATGTGCAGAGGAGCGGTGGCGACGAGACGCCGGGGAACGATCAGTCGACTCGAGAGTGAGGAAGAAAGGGAGGTCGGTGACCGTCTGATCGAAGAAGCGCTGGGTCTTGTCATCCCCTAGGGTAACGGAAATGGGAGTTGGAGGCCGTGTCGTGGGTAAGCGAGCTTCTTTCACCACGCGGGGGTGAATGAAGTCGCCCTGAGAACCGGAATCCCACAGCGTGGAGTACACCCTCGTGGAGGTCCCGAGTCGTATTGGGATGATCGGGAGGGTGCGATCAGGGTCAGAGAGGATGGCGAGATGGCGCCGCAGTGCAGCGACATGGAGGGCGAGCCTGGAGCATGCTCAAGTCCAGAAGAGAGGACACAACGTCCTCGAAGTAGCGAGCTGCTCGCTGCAACGGGCTGAGCGAATGGCTCGACGCGTCGGTAGTCGCGGCGGGGAAGGAGGGGAGACGGTGGTCTGCGGAGGCGCAGACGGTACTGCGACAAAGGGCTGAGTACACTCTGTCGAGTCCTGCGATACCTCAACCCCAGTAGCGAGAGGGGCGAACCACGACGGAGATGTCGGGAAACCCACTACTGAGGAGGGCGCAGGTGTACACTGCACCGTGGCTAGGAGGCGCCG